GGCCCCGACTTACTAGGCAGACAAAGCATCATGGTCTGCAGGAAGAGTCTCTGACTCGTTTTACCCTCTCACACCCGCCCGAGCCAGACAGCCTTTTCATGTGGTGCAGATTTGCATATGTCACACACACACACACACACACACACACACACACACACACACACCGGATGCTTCCAGAGCCCATAGTGGTTGTGTGCGTCACGAAACACCAACAGTAAGTACATGGGTGGTTCTGGGGGTTACAGGGAGGACAAGGTCTCTATTGTGGAGACCTTACAAAAATAAGCAAAGCCCATAAAATGTAGTATTAAATGGTGCAGTGGTTTGAATAGGTGTGGCCCCATAGACTGATGTGTTTGAATGTTTGGCCATAGGAAATGGCACTATTAGGAGGTAAAGTGTGTCAATGTGGTGATGTATATAGGATGTCCTTCTGTATATGTGTTGCTTTTATTGGTTGATGAATAAAGCTGTTTTGGCCGATTGCTTAGCAGACTAAAGCCAGGCAGGAAATCTGAACAGAGATATAGAGAGTAGGCAGAGTCAGGTAGATACCATGTAGCCACCCAAGAAGCAAGATATGAGGTAACAAACCATTAATCAGATTGAATACTCTCAATTGATACAGCTAATTGCTTTGCTTATTTTTTCTTTTTACTCATTTCTGTTGAATTATTCTAGGGAATCGTTCGCTTTAGTTAAAATTTTCAGCTCAAGAATTCCCATTAAATTCCTATTAATAATCTCTAGATAAATCATCCTTTAACTGCAACCCACTCACCAGAGTACTGTAATGTGCCTGGAGGGGGTGGGTTAGGGAAGGGAGAAGGAGAGGGAGGGAGGGGAAGAGAGGAGAGGAGGGGAGAGGAGGTGAAAGGAGGGTTGGCTATGTGAGGGTTCCTTTGCTCCACTGTAAGCAGAGTGAAGAAACAGAGGGGACGATGAAAGTCAGGACATTTGGGAGTGGCGGTAGACAGTAGAGTTGATTCTTTCTGTGCCTGTGGCTACTGTTACAAATTACCACAAACCTGGTAGGGAATTATTCTTTCATCATGTAGAGGCCACAGATTTGCTGTCAGGACTGTATTTCCCCTGACAGGCTTGCAGGAGAACCCGCCCTTTGCCATTTCCAACCTCTGTGTGTTCCAGGCATTGCTAGAGTTTTGACTGCAGGACTCCAGTTCCCGTCTCAAGCTCCCCACAGCTTCTTTGTGTCTCTCTTCCGAGTTTTTTTATTTGTTTGCTTTTGGTTTTTGGAAACAGGGTTTCGCTGTAGTTTTGGAACCTGTCCTGGAACTAGCTCTTGTAGACCAGGCTGGCCTTGAACTCATAGAGATCTGCCTTCCCCTGCCTTCCGAGTATTGGTATTAAAGGTGAGAGCCACCACAGTCCAGCCTCATCTGTGCTCCTTAAGAGGACACTTGTAGTGAGATTTTGTGTTCTAACAAATAAAGCTTGCCTGAAGATCACAGAGCAGAACTAGAGGCCAGGGGTGGTGGGTTGCACACGCCAGAGGCAGAGGGATCTTTGATACTTCAAGGCCACCCTGGGCTACACAAGATTGAATCTGTCTCAAAGAGAAACAGAATTTATACAAAGGTGATCCCACAGCACTTGGGATAACATGCCTTTAATCCCAGCATTAGGGAGGTGGAGACAGGAGTGATGTGGCTGGGTAGAGAGAAGAATACAAGGCAGAAGGAGACAGGAGCTCAGAGGCAGTCTGAGGATTGTCCCGGCAGTCAGTCTGAGGACAGGATCGCCCCTTCGCACTGAGCATTGGTAGAGGTAAAAGGTCTCTCTGGTGGCTGGCCGCACTGCTTCTCCAATCCTTTAGCTTTCGCCCCCTAACATTTGACTCAGGGTTTTGTTTATTAAGACCAAATAGAATTCATGCTATAGACGGTTGTCTTGACATGGGGCTCTCCCAACTACCTGCCTCTTGAATTTGTCTGTTCTTGGAGTCATCATTTAGACCAGAGATTCTCAACCTTTCTGATGCTGCAACCCTTTAATACAGTTTTTCATGTTATGGTGACCCCTCAACCATAAAATTATTTTGCTGCTACTTCATAACTGTAATTTTTCTGTTATGAGTGAATTGTGATATAAATATCTGATATGTGACCCCAGTGGGGGACCGAGACCAACAGGTTGGGAAACACGCTTTAGGCAGGTCCCTCCACGGGCCCACGTGGAGCTACCATCATGCAGTACGTTTGTACGAGCCCTGCTATGTGATGCTCCCAGAACAGGGGTCTGGGTTGGGAGGTGGGAAGGGCCCAGCTTCCTCAGCAGGCCTGATTTCTTTATAATCAGCTAGCCAGGGCCAGCCGGGGCACTAGGGTAGCTTCAATGTCCACGGTGCAGGAAGAAGAGAGATGGCAGCTTCTCAGTGGAGCTTCAGGTTCTGGCTAACAGGAGGCAAGCTAGGCTGCAGGGGTGTAGTGTGAGTTGGGCAAGACACAGCAAGGTTTCTGCGTGTTCAGTCGTCTGCGCAGGTACACAAAACTGCTCCGAACAGAACAGGATTCAACTGTCTTTCCCAAGGTGCTTCCTTCCCCTCTGTGAACTACTACTGGGAAGCGGTGGGCAGGTGCGTCAGAGACTGAAGAGAGAGAGGCACAGAGAAGTAGAGAAACTGGGCCACATTGATGCTCCAGGAAGGCCAGGGATGACTAAACAAGACTCTAATGCACACCTTGGTTCCTGAGCTGTGCACTCTGGGGAGAAGTTGGTGATGTTCACAGTGATTCCCATTGAAGAAGAGCCCGCATGTGGCCCTCCATGTGCAGGGCCCAGTATGTCCTGAGATGTGCTTTGCCTCAGATTCCCAGTGGATGGTCAGTGTCAGACTGGGGGATGGGGAGCAACACCCTAACAGCTCAGTCGCCTTCTAGTTCCACTGCTAGCCCCAGAGATTAGACTTTCTTTTCAGATTTTAACGTTTTGTTTCCTCCGTCCCTGCCTTTTAAAAAGAATGTAGGTTCTTTCCCAGAATAGAGCCCATGGCTCTATTACTTACTCAGTACAGGGAACCTGGGTGTGACTTAACAAAACCCTGTGTCCCTAAGGCTCAGGAAACCCATGAGATTCTCTTGGGGACAGTGTCAGGGAGTTATTCTACATTTCCTCCAAAGCTGACTGCGAGATGGGGCCTGAGTGTGGAACCCTAGGAAGCCAAGCGGGAAAGGAAGGGGTGCAACAAATTCTGCCACCCTTCGATCTCCAGGAGGTGAGGCCCTCTGAGGTGTCTGAGGGCCTTAGGACTTCCCTCCAGGGGTTTGGGGAGACTCCAGACTGAGCAGAGAGGAGTCAATGCTGCAGCAGCTGCGGGTAAGCTAAGGGTAGCCAGGCCAGGGTAGAGCATGTGCTGTGAGCAGGGTGGGTGTGTCTAGAGAGTTGAATAAGACTTGTGCTATAGGGGGAGAGAAGAAAGAGTGGGAGATGAGGCAGGGAACCCCACAAAAACCCAGCTCTGACTGGTGAGATACCAACTGTGTCTAATTGCTCCCCAGTGATGGTCACACCACAACCCAGAGCCCTGGAGACAGATTCTCCCTTTCCTGACAAGTAAGACAGAATGGCTGTGTTTCTGCCCTTGGGAACTGTGGTGGTCTGAATAAGAATGAGCCCCATAGGCTCATGTATTTGAAAGCTTGGTCCTCAGTGAAACAGCTAGGTAGGGATTAGGTGTGTGACTTTATTGGAAGAGGTGTGCTACTTGCAGTGGGCTTGAGGGTTTCAAAGGCCCCTGCCAGGCTCAGGCTCTCTCTCTCTCTCTCTCTCTCTCTCTCTCTCTCTCTCTTTCTCTCTCTCTCTCTTCTCTCTGCAACTTGCAGATGAGATGTGAATTCTCAGCTACTTCTTCAGCACAGTGCCTGCTCCCACCACACTCTCTGCCAGGGTGACCATGGGCTCACCCTCTGAAACTGTAAGCAAGCCCCCATTAGATGCTTCCTTTTATAAGTTCCCTTAGTCATGATGTCTCTTCGCAGCAACATAACACCATGACAGGGACTTAGCTATGAAGGATTAAAACAACCTCAGGGGTGGTTTTTTTTTTCTTTGTAATTCTTTACTACCCAGGGGTGGTTTTGATGACACTGCACGGAGGACTTAAAAAAAAAGATGGCTGGGCCAGCTTCCAGCAATATCATATAAAGGTGAAAGACTCCATACTTCCCAGTATACAAACATCTTCTATTTATACGCTGCCATTCAGTAAATATTCAATAGTGAACATCACAGACAGCTGCCAGGCTACAAAACAAGAGAGAAGTGTTGACTTTTCAAGAAATCAGGGCAATGTAAGTGATTGGTAAACAATAGTGAAGCCAGGTTGCACCCCACCCCCTTCCAACACACCCAAATGGAGAAAAGTTAGATTCAGTTAATTCCCTGTTGGTTATTATTTATTTAGGCAGTCGTGGGGCTGTGTCCTGTTGGCCTGTTGGGTGAGGAAACCCAGCCACGCAGGAGCCTTTGGCAAGGGGCTTAGAGACCCTCCCAGGTGATGACGCGACAGGGAGCCCCGCGGATTCTGGGGTTTTCACTTGACCTCATACTTTTTCTTCTCACAAGGTGTGTTCTTAGAAAAATGGCCCCCAAACACAAACGCCCTTCCATGATGAATCCTGCAGACTGGCCCCACTCAGAGGGTCTCCAGGAAGAGCTGGGGGTACATGGAAGTGATCACAGAACCTCCAAACGGGTCCTTTCACAGCCCCCGCTCCAGTACAGCAACTGCTTCTTCCTGCTGTTCCCAGGAGGAGCTGGAAGGTAAATCCATGGTTGCCACGTTCCCATCTCCTTCTCTGAAGTCTTTCCTGAAGGATGAGGAAACTTCTGGTCCTTAGGTTGGTCTTTGAAGCTCCGTGCAGGTACACTGAGCCCAGAAGTTTCTGAAGGACCTGGTTTAGGCATTAACTGGCTATGTCATTCCCATTCTGACTCCCCAAGCCCAACCACTTGTTTCTTCCATAAATACACCCTCTGAGTTGGTTTTATGTACATTTTCTTTGGATCTTTAATGCGGAGGAAGCAGGGGTGGGACGGGAGGAAGAAGGCAGAGGGGGACAGCTGCTCCAGGGTAGCAGCAGTAGCTACAAGGGAGGTCTGCACAAGGGTGGTGCTATGTTAGACCTACAGGCCTTCATGGAGCTTTGCTGATCTTAGGAACTAAGATTGGCTATTCCTAAACCTATCGTGGGGAGCACCATTGCCGAGACAAGAGATCCTAAACAGGAGTGATGGCAGAGCTGGTATTTTGACTGGTGAGGGGTTCAAAGTTGTTTTTCTAGAAGAGCTGAATTCACGGTAAGTAACTTCAAGAGGCAGTCATCTTCAAGGCGAAGGGTGGAGGACGGGGTGGATTTTCAGGGTAGGGGCCAGTCATCATTGGTGGTGGGACAGTTTCCTCATAGTCACCGTGAGGAGTAAAAATGTCCAGAGAGAAAAATGCCGAAGTGGGCCTCCGCACACATTCCAGAAAGACGGTCTGGTGGGTGGTTTGCTGGACTTGTGTTTATCACCCGGATGGCAAATGGCAAGACCTGCTTTGGGGACAGTCACACACGGCCTCCAGAAAGCGAGTCTCACTGGCTTTGGTTCCTTGGCCCTTCAGTGGTAATAGATGCTGAAGGCGTGCAGAATATAGAGCAGGGTGGTGAGGAAGGCGAAGAACTGGAGAAACACAGGGAGTGTTAGAGAGGCCAGCGCAGGGCCCACCCCCAACCCAATGCCTCTAGATCCTCCCACCCGGCATTGTGTTCCCTGCACAGCTGAGAGTAGTGAACACTGGGCAGAGAGAGCAAAGGGGATGCTGGGTAGAGCAGGTCCTCTACAATAGTCCAGATGGGGTAAGACAGGGAGAGTATGGGACTTTGAGTTTAATGAAATCCAAGAGCCTGGACAAAGAGGAAAGGGATCAGGGAGGCTGGAAGGCAGCTGGGAAATGCTGTGGCCTTCCCAGAGGCCCACAGCGTTAGTTTGGTACCCTGTTCTTACTCTGGAGACAGTGCCCCCCCCCCCCCCCAGTGCAGCCTTGGCCTCTGGCATGGCGTGGGAGCCTGTGGAAGCCGAAGGGTGACATGGATCATGTCTTCTCACACTCAAAGTGGAGTTGACTTTCTGTCACAAGAGGGTATCATTTCATAGTAGAGAAAGAGACAGGTGGGCTCAGAAGCCCGCCTCTTGGGTGCCACCACCTGGGCATCAGGCTTTTTCCACAATTTACTGTGCCCACCTTGCCTTGTCTTCCATTACTTAGCAATACCATTTCTGTGGACTTCTGTCATTGAAACAAAGGACTAAGAATAGCTGACGGTGTCCAGCAACTCATACTCAAGCAAGGCCGCTGGACCTCTCAGCAGATGTCAGTAAAAAAGAGAAATGTGGTTCTGTTTGTTTGGGGCGGGGGGAAGAATAAAACTCTGAAGACTGAGCAAGGCTGAGTGGGACAAATGCAAGACAAGAGGGGGTCCCTGAAGTTTGGGTGCATGCCCACACATGCATTTTCCCCTCCGCCAGGCTCCTGCAGTTTGACACAGTTGTCCAAAATATGCAGGACAGCGCTGAACTGCACGTAATAAATGCCCTCCGTGTGTGCACGTCTATGCCGCTGCCTAGTAGCTGCGCCGCTACTCACCGAAGCTGCAGTGTTGATGTAGTACTCATTTATGTTATAGTGTTCAGACATGATAGTGACGTGTGCTTGCAGGACGGCGGCACTCATGTACAGGATGCTTGTGGTTCCATGGTATAGACTGTCCTGGAAATGCAGAGCAGAGGCAGGGGTCGATGTTGTTCAAGTGAACACCTTCCCTTTTTCTACACAGCAGGGAAGAAGGGGAGAGAAAAGTAAACCCAATCCCTACTGCCCTTTCTTTGCCAAGTTCCTCCCCTCCCCAGAGTGTGTGTATGTGTGTGTGTTGGGAGGGGACACAGCATGCATGTGGAGGTCAGAGGATAACTTATAGGAGTTGGTGCTCTCCTTCCACCATGTGAGTTCCAGGGGTTGAACACAGGTTGCCAGGCTTGGCAGCAGGCCTTTGGCTGAGCTATCTCCTTAGCCCCTGATTTTAGTTTTGATGCTCTATGTTATGCTGTCAAGACAACAGGAATGTCCTGCAGCAACTAAAATGCTCACTAGCTCTTGAGGGAATGCACCTTGGTTAATCTGCATTTTGCAACCTCTAAGGAAGTGTAGGTCACACACGCCATGTCAGAAATTCTGTCCCCAGTGCACATCTCACCGTGGGAGCATCAGGGCAACAGATGTGCCCCGCTGTACAGGGCTTTGTAGAGATTCAAACGCAGGTCCTCATGCTTACACTTTACCCACCAAGTCATCTCCCAGCCCAGAATTATTTTTAAGAAACAGGACCTTTTTGTGTTGCCCAGACTAGCCTTGAACACCTAGGTTCAATACAGCCTCCTGCCTAGGCTTTCTAAGTTACTGGGAGACTCTAGGTATACGCTGCCTTTTAGTTGAAGTATATGAGTGTTTTGTCTACATATGTATCTGCCTATACATATTTCTGTGCACCACATGCATACAGTGTCCATGGAGTTCAGAAAAAGGGTGTCAGATCCCCCTAGACCTAGAGTTACAGATGGTTGTGAGCCTCCATGTGGGTGCTGGGAGCTAAACCTGGGTCCTCTGCAAGAGCAACAAGTACTCTTTACTGCTGAGCTCTCTCTCCAGGTACTATTTTTAACTTCGGGAAGGTGTGTACAATCCTAACAAGGAAAGCAGCGGAGGGAAATACAAGGAAATATGTACAAATACGTTTTCACTTTGGATTAGCAATCAACACACCAAAATCAGCAGCCTTGGTTTCCTAGGGATCTCATCCCAGTGGGGTCTTCTCATCTCAGGCCTTTCACTCTGCCTCCCCCACCCGGAGAAGCACATTGTCCTTTAGAACTCAGGACACCAGCCCAAGAGGTGCTGTCCCCTGGTTCTTACCAGGACTCTCCAGGACGCAAATCGCTTGTAAAACCCCAACAGGTAGGACAACAGGAACATCAGGGAGATGAGGAACGAGGTGAGGGACACGTACAGCACCCACCCATGCAGCAAGGGTCTCGAGACATGCGTGGCGGCCACCAGTGTCCAGACCAAGAACCCAAATACCTGTAGGAGAAAAGCACAGACGTGATTTTGCTTGTGCTTTAGTGAAGAAACACCATGGCCGAGGGAACTCCTTGGAAGAAAACGTTTAATTCAGGGGGCTCACTGACAGTTGAAGAGGTTCAACGAGTTATCATCATGGCGGGGAACATGGCGGCATGCAGCAGAGGAGGTGCTGGAGCTGAGACTGCTACATCTTGCCGGCAACAGGGGATCAACTGACTCACTGGGAGTTATCCTGAGTTTATGAAACCTCAAAGCCTGCCACCACAGTGACACACTTCCCACAGAAGGTGTGGCCCAGATGTGCCCTCTAGCTTCAAGGTCTGGATTAAAGGCGTGTGTCACGCCTCCTCCAACAAGGCCACACCTCCTAATAGTGCCACTCCCTGTGAGTTGATAGGGCCCGAATACATTCAAACTACCAGAGTTTGCTTGTGTATGGGTGGGAGGACTCCCTTGGCAGAGCTTCCCTGGCTGAAAGCTCAGCTCAGGGTCAGAAGGTGGGTCAAGGAGCTTGCTGTCCAGCCTGACAACCAGACTTGGATCTCTGGAACCCATTCTTCCAAGTTGTTCCCTGATCTACACATGTGCACGCATGGCATGTGTATTGTATGTGTGCACACAGAGGAAGGCTGGCCTCTCTGAATCATGGTCAAGTCCAATCCTGTAAAATTAAGGGTATTAACCAGCCTTGCAATAGGAGAGACCCCCAGTCAATTTTGGCCACCTCTTTTAGCCTAAGCAGTGTTGATGGGTAATTTTTAAGACCATCTGAACAAGTTGTTAATGCTTAAAATGGACTTTTCACATGAAAAAAATTACATTTTTTTTCTTGAGAAATCCATGGCTCAGTGACTCAGAGCTGACCAGAATAAGTTGTGACTGCATCTTTTAAGGGACCTAGATGGGTAGGAGAGATGGATCAGAGGGTAACAGCCCTGACTGCTCTTCCTTCCAGAAGCCCAGATTTGAGTCCTAGCACTCACATGGTGGCTCACTATTTGTAACTCCAGTTGCAGGGGATCTGACACCCTCTTCTGGACTCCTTGGACACCAGAAATGCATGTGACACACAGACACACTGGCAGGCAAAACACCCCCACTTATAAATAAGAGGACCTGGAGAGTCCTTAGCAAGCCTTGTCCTCTTGGCCAACCCCATGCCACCCTGTGACATGTTCTTGTTACTTGCTTCTTCTCCTGCCCCACTGAGGGCTTTCCTGGCTTGTGAGCAGCTGGTTGAGGCTCGTCAGGCGATAGTGGCTAATGTTCTGGGATCAGTTGCCAGTGTTCAGTGTAATTCCAGTTTAATAGCCTCTATCTCTGCCCAGGCATTTGCTGTTCCCTTGTCAGTCACACCTCCCTCTTCTTTCTTCAAGGGTCTCCTTTGATCTAAGCTGCACTCAGCTGTGATGGGTGATCCCGGGCTGTGGTGGGTAATCCCGGGCTGTGATGAGTGATCCGGGCTGTGATGAGTAATCCCGGGCTGTGATGGGTGATCCCGGGCTGTGATGAGTGATCCCAGGCTGTGGTGGGTGATCCCGAGCTGTGGTGGGAGAGTCAGGGCTGTGACTGGAGAGCCAGGGCCGTGGTGGGTGATCCCGGGCTGTGGTGGGTGATCCCGGGCTGTGGTGGGTGATCCCGGGCTGTGGTGGGTGATCCCGGGCTGTGATGGGTGATCCCGGGCTGTGGTGGGAGAGCCAGGGCTGTGATTGGAGAGCCAGGGCTGTGGTGGAGAGGGGCAGGGTTGGAGATAAATGTTCAACAAATATAAGGTTCACTTGAGAGCCTGGAGGGAGAGAGTCCACAAGGGAATTACATGATTTTGTTGGTTTATCTCATTTTCTGAGCAGGTCTCCCTGCAGGTCGCTCTGTGGCAGGCACTGAAACACCCTTGGCTCTCCAGCTCCTCACTTTCATTAAAATGGCATCATTTTTAAAAAAGAAATACTTGATGATGTTATGTTATATACCTTTTTAAAAAGACTCATTTATTTTTGTTTTACATATATGGGTAGGGGTTTTTATTTGTTTTATTAGACAGGATTTTCCTGTGTAAAGCCCTAGCTGTCCTGGAACTCACTCTGTAGACCAGGCTGGCCTCGAACTCACAGAAATTCACCTGCCTCTGCCTCCGGAGTGCTGGGATTAAAGACATGCGCTACAACCATCCAGCGGGACTCATGCTGTTCTATCCTTGCCTGTGGAGCCACTCACAGATAATGGTTGCTGCAGGGAAGGTGCTGGCATTTTCATCAATGGTGTGGCCCATGTTCTGGTAAATAATCCTCCTGTCCGTGCCTCTGTAAGCCACCCTAATTAAACTCAATTAGTGACCAAAAACTAAAAATAAAGTGTAGAAGTGTTACTGGTTGGGAATGGCCTGTAGGAGTGGAGGGAACAGACCACAGGGCAATGGGGGTGGTTGTGATCAGAACACACTGCATATGAGAATGACATTTTTCTATAATTTTAAATTGAATTGAAGAGGCCCACTAGTTCCGGGGACAACTTTCCCCACCTCAAACAACCAATGTGCAGCGAGGTCTTGGAAGTTCTGCGCTGGATCTGGACATGTCTATGGTGAACAGTACTGACTTGTCCTAGGGAAAGGGGTTCTGGGGCCAGAGGTCTGTTCTATGCCCCTACTCCCCCCGACATGCACACACCCATTGATGAAACCAAAGCACTTGCCAAATGTCCTTCCCGACAACCTGAGAAGGTGCACAATGGAGCTGGAATCTGAGCAACACCCAGACCGTACTAGCTGTTAGTGGGATTGCCGTGTGGGGCTGTAAAACCACCCTGTACACCTGGACACACATGAGCCCTTAGGGGGCAGCGAGGGTCTGTGTTACTGACTATAATCCCAGGAAAAGGCCTGGAACAAAGCATCTATAAGGGCGAGGGGTGTTGGGGTACACTGTCTGAATGAATCTATAAGGAAAGCACCCCCATCTCACATCCAGCAGGAACTTCACAATTTGTAAAAATCTATCCACTCAAACGGTCTCATCCATTGTGCCCACCTGTGTCAGGCTCACCGTCAGCCAGGCTGTCTCTGTCCCTTTGCCCCCATTGGAGCTGAAAAGGACTCCCCAACACTGTGGGTCCATTGTTTGTCCTTGTGAAGTTAGTCACCATCACTGTCCCTCATGAGAGGGCTGAGGTCTCACAAGCAGTATGGAGTGTAGCCTGGACATGGAGAGGACATTTGTGTGACTGTCCTCCGAACCAGATGTCACGCTGGGGGCAGGGGAGCTAGATGTTCCTAGAAAGTGCCAGAGGTCGGTTGGCTAGCGTCACAGCCGGAGCCCTGGTACAGTTAACCTCAGTGGACTCTCAAGCCTGCAGAACCAAGGGGCCCATTTGGACCTTCATCCTCTGGTTTCCAGCCAAGGAAATTCTGACACCAGTCAAGGACTCTGAGCTTGGGGAATCTACCCAGATTACAGGGAATTTTTTTTTTTTGAAATAGCCCTGTTGTAAAATTGTTTTGCAGAGGAATGTCATTTGGTTTTTACTTCCACACCCCTCTGCCTTCTAAGCAGCAGATGGGATCAGGCCCAGAGACCAACTCCAGGTGGGTTAAAGCCCAGTGGTGTTTGGTGTCTCAGCTCTACCCCAAGAAGTCTGGCAGGGAAACTTGACCTTTCGACTCCTATTTAAAAGCTCATATTTACCTGGTCGCCTACGCCACTCTCCCGTTTTAGCCCCCATTTTATATTTCCCAAGAGCAGGGAATATTTTTAGCTGGTGTGGTCTGCTCCCCTCTACCCGGAAGGATATTATATTGCAGTTAGACATTTAGAGTAAGTGTGCCTCAAGGAAAATCCTGGCAGGGTCTTTTTGTATTGAAGAAAATGCACACTTCTCATAGATGCCCTTCCCAAAGGACTAAGCTCAAAGGCTCATGCCTTTAATTCCAGTGCTCAGGAGGCAGAGACAAATGGATCTCTTTGAGTATGAGACCAGACTGGTCTACATAGTAAGTTCCAGGAGGGCTAGAGCTGTATACTAAGACTCTATCTCAAAAAAAAAAAAAAAAAATAGAACAGAGTTGAACCAAAGGCTTGGTCATGAATCTTAGGGGTATAACTCTGTTGCTAGGTGCTGGTGAGATGGTTTGGGGTTAGGAATACACATTGCTCTTGCCGAGGACCTGAGTTCAATTGGACCGTGTTGGGTAGCTCATACTTTTGTTACTCTGGTTCTAGGGGCATCCAACACCTCTGGCCTCTGTGGATATTCATGAGCTTGTACCTACCTATCTACATATACACATTGGGGGATGCCGAGGAGTGGGTGAGGTTAAGGTGTTGAGCCTAGGCATCAGGCATCATATCATTAGGTAGTGAGAAACCCCTAGAGGCTCATGGGCTCAGACCAAACATGAGACCCTTTAAGCTTCTACTGGATGAAATAACTGCAAGTATTAGCATAAGTTAAGTTGGAATATAAGAATACAAGAGTTCAAAATAATAGGGTTTTTGGTTTGTTTGTTTTGCTTTTTTTGGGGGGGGAGGGGGAATAGGGTTTCTCTGTGTAACAACCCTTGCTGTTCTGGAACTCACTGTGTAGACCAGGCTGGCCTCGAACTCAGAGATCCTCCAGCCTCTGCCTCCTGCGTACTGAAATTAAAGGCATGCACCACCATGCCCAGCTTCAAAAGAATACTTAAATAAACAAGCAAACAAACAACTGTGTCACTTTTGAAACATCTTTGCTGTCTTTGAAAACAATGTAATGAATTAAAAGAATCTACAATAAGACACAGTGGTAAAGAACTTCTAATATACGCGCCCGGGTTGGGTGGGGACTGGGGTGTGGGTTTTGCCTGGCATCATCTATGCCCTGGATTCAGTTCCCAATACTGAAAAACAAAACAGAAAACAATAAAATCAAAACAGAAACCCAGAGAAAGTAGGCACAGCCTAGGGCAAGGCTCTGAGTCCTGTGGGTTCCTGGAACTCTCTGTGGACTACGAGACAACTCAGCAATCTGAGCCCTGGGGATGCTGCCCGATGTGGCCGGTGGCCAGGGAAGCTGCACTGTTGGACATTCTCCAGACGATACGACTGAAACTGAAACCCTCTGCCAGTTTTGATTGTTTCCACTTTGCCCCATACAGATCTGCACATCACACATCTGGGTTTGTATCCCAGCTCTACCAGGGGATTCTGTAAGCCACCTGTGCCTCTGCATCCATTAGAGGAGGGGGGTCTCTCTGGTCCCTGCCAGGAGGGCACTTAGATAAAGTTAACCAGTCTCACTTTGGCTCGTGGGGAGTCAGATAACCATTAGCCCAGGCAACTGTAACCACTTGAAAGGGCACAAGAGGACCAGAGGAATGTTGCGTGGAAGAGAACCAGAAGAGCGACACCCTAGCTGGTCTTTTTGAGGGGTGGGAAGTTTGCAACCAAGGATGGGGATTGGGATGGGAAATGGGAGGCTGGAAAGCTGGATGAGGGCAATATTATTTGGGGGGTATAGACCCTTTTCACAGAACAGATAAAAGCCTTTAAAGATGCACTTATATACACATGTGAACACACACACACACACACAATTTTTTTTTGTCTACAAATTTAAGAGACTCACAGGCCACTCCCCACATGTCCACCTGTAAAAGTCCATGTTAAATACCTGATTTTTTTTTATTTGGTTTGTCAACTTTCTGTTTATTTGTTTTGTTTTTGAGACTGGTTCTCACTATGTAGCCCTAGCTATCCTGGAACTTACTATGTAGACCAGGCTGGCCTTGGGTTCCCAGAGCTCCACCTGCCTTTGCCAAGGGCTGGAATTGAAGACCTGTGCCACCACAACTGGCAAATGTCTGTGTTAGTAGCCATGCTGTTATTTTGGAAACACTGATCAACACATTAAATTAAATTGCTCCGCTCGGTAACTTCACTTTTCAAAATTGTTCTACACGTGGCATGCATGAACAAAATGAAGAATAGACACGGTTGTTGCATCTTGGTTAAACACAGAAAAGACAGGTTTGACCCAAATGCTCATCTAGAGGATGCCAATTAAATCAGCTATGCCTGCCAGGGTGGGGCCCTCTGCGGCCTTCAGACAGAAGTGTTTACTTCCAGAATGGAGCAAGACCTAGCAGACAGCAGCATGCCCAGCAGGCTCGGACTTATGTGCAACGAGAAGAAAAAGAATGGAGTATTTCTGGACAGAGATTCTGTCTCAGCTTCGGGGAGACCTGGTTGGCTTGAGGAGAGACTTCTCACCCTCTCACCACAACCAGCAGAGGACAGAGTCCTCGCTATGGGAATGTGGCCATGTTTAAAGTGATCCAGAACATTTTAGTATGTGTTATTTAACACATAAAAAATTAAAAGAACAAGAAGAAAGCAAGTAGGTTGCATGAGGGAGGGTCCTAAGGCATCTCGGATGAGACCTGCCTTCCCAGGCAATGTAGCGGGAGTGAGTGGTGTTGACAAGGGCCAGTCTCCTTAGAGGTTCAGAGAAGGACTTTCCCTGAGTGATGAGGGCCCCAGGGGGTGGCAGGGATACGCAGGTATCAGATCTGCACAGGGCGGGGTTCCAAGTCAGGGCGGCTTCAGTGTGGGGCAGAAAAAGAGCTGAGAACGGGAGGCACGCAGAAGGCAGAGACACTGGTAGCAGGTTTCTCTGCATAGCTGGGTGGCATTTCAGCAGGGCAGGTCTCACTCCATGCCAGTACCACATTCCTCTCTTTCCTACCTGTCTTAGCTTTCATGACAGATCCCTCCCTTACTTGGTTCTTAGGTGACAACAGGGGACCATGAATTCCTATGAACTGAGAGGAAAAAGCCAAATCAAATGTTGGACGAGGCTCCCATAACTACTGACAGCACAGGAGGAGTGGCTCCCACAAAGGACTCAGGCAGGTGTCGTCCACAGTGGGAACCCCAATGGCCTGAAGGCTCCCTGTGGCACTGTGATGCCTCAGGATGAAGACAACTCTTGTCCCTTGTGTGAGACTTTGCACCACGTGTACACTTTATGCAACCATTGCCGCAGTCCGGCTCCTGATCACAAAGCTCTAACCTCCTGCTTCCTCCTTGGCCAGCTCCAGCAGCCTCCACTCTGCTCCACGCACCTGACGACTCCAGGTACCTTAGACAGAAGAAGTCTTGCAGAATTTCTCTTCTGTGACTGGCTGATTTCACTTAGCATATTTCTTTCGGACTTCGTGTTTAGCATGCACCAGCATTTCCCTGTGCTTTAAGGTAGAGTAATGCTCCATTGAATAAAATAGTTCTTGCCTATAGTTCGAAGTTTACTATTTCTCGACTTTACTCCATGCAAACGTGACAGGCATCTGGTAGAACCTTTCAGTTTTGCAGTGACAGAACTCCCCAGCCTAGCGCTCTCTGATAAGGCAGCTCCTCTGTCTTCTTCTCAGGCAGCAAGCGAGCCAAGGCTTCCGGACGGCCAGGAGTTCACGGATGGAAACCAGGGACACTCAACAGTGGACCTGTGCTGTTAAGTTAGAAAGTGCTGAAGGTGGCGTATACTTCGTGCATTTTCAGTCTAGGTCAGTGCTCATCAATGTAAAACTCCCTCGTGAGCCAAGAGGCATCGGATTGCTCTTTGCTTATCCTCTCATCCATGCGGGTTGCTTTCTACCTCTTGGCTGTTGGGAGTAAGACTGCTACACACAAGGGTGTGCCAATATTCCTTCAGGGGAAGAATGAGATGCCATTGGCCCTGGGCTGTGTCAAGCTCTCATCAGTTGGTGCCCTTGCAAAAGACCTGGAGAGCGGCGATCCATCAAACAGGCATTCTTGTCGCTATGGACATGGCTTGAGGGTTTGTGACATCCAAGCAAAATGCCTCAACTCTAGGGAGATTTTAATGAAAGCAAACAGCAAGAATTGCTGTGGAATGATGAGATTTTAAGCTGTCTGTAAAATCGGTGAGCAGTAAAGGAATTTTTCATCATATCTTCCTCCTTCCCTGGCACAGTTTTCATGAACACAGCTTTTCCAGTGCTGGAGCAGGAGCCCAGGACTTTGCGCATGCCAGGCTGCACTCTATCACCAAGCTATGTACCCAGCCCAGCCCACCCCCAATGAAAAAGATTTACTTTATTTTTAATTGAGTGCATGCGAGGGGCATAATGTACACATGTGAGTTCAGTACCTGATAAATCCAAAAGACGACAACTGCCCTGGGGCTGGAGTTACAGCAGTTGTGAGCTGTGTGTGTCCTGGGGGGGAGAATGCCAGTCCTCTGCAAGAGCAACCCGGGTTCTTACGTGCTGAGCCATCCCTTCAGACCGCTGATCGCAGCGACTGCCAAGCCTGGCACCTAATCAGGGAGCAGCATCACAAGCAATGCCAGGCCCCCAACTTTCAGCAGTACCCTCTCCACTGGAGTTTTCCTGCCTTCCTGCCTTCCTTCCTTCCTTCCTTCCTTCCTTCCTTCCCTCCCTCCCTCCCTGCCTTCCTTCCTTCCTTCCTTCCCTCTCTCCCTCCCTCCCCTCCCTCCCTCCCTCCCTCCCTTCCCTCCCTCCCTCCCTTCCTTCCTTCCTTCCTTCCTTCCTTCCTGCCTTCCATCTTTCCTTCCTTCCTTCCTGCCTTCCTGCCTTCCTGCCTTCCTTCCTTCCCTCCCTCCCTCCCTCTCTCCCTCCCTTCCTTCCTTCCTTCCTTCCTGCCTTCCTGCCTTCCTGCCTTCCTGCCTTCCCTCCCTCCCTCCCTCCCTCCCTTCCTTCTTCCTGCCTTCCTTTTTTTTTTTTTTAATTTTGGGTTTTTTGAGACAAGAGTTCTCTTTGTAGCCCTGGCTATCCTGGGACTTGCTCTGTAGAGCAAGCTCACCTCAGACTCAGAGATCTGAATGCCTCTGCCTCCAGAGTCCTGGGATTAAAGCGTGCGCCACCACATCCAGCTTCACTGGAGTTTTCAAATGTGGACCCTTTGAAGGTTACGACTTCATGTTAGTGGTTTGTTTTCCAGCATGGAGAAATCAAAGAGACCAGACTGGAAAGTATGGGAGCGCAATGTCCAAGGAAAGGGAAATACTGTTTCCTTACTGTTTCCCGAGTCTTTTGTTTCAACACACACACACACACACACACACACACACACACACACACACACCTACACACTCCAGGTGCCATGGAGTCTCTTTCTGTGAAGCGCAGTCAGTTGTGGAAGACCATCTTCTGGAGAGTCTCCCTGACTCTCAGCCAAGGGCTTTTGCAGTAGCCTGCCCTAGCAGGCCTACCCTGGATGGCTCAGCCACACAGCAGGAAGCCTTGGGTAAGGACTTCAAGGTCAGGGGTGTGAGAGTGGAGGGGTTCATGGGAGGAAATATTGGGACCTGGGTGACAAAAGTAAGCCACCCACAGGGTGGTAAGGAGAACCCCAGCTGAGGGAAAGCCAGAGCCATGGGAGGAGCCCTGGAGGGTGTCCTTTCTACAGGTGTCACAGAATGTGATGGGAAGCAAAGACAAAGGAATCACAGCCAAGATATAAGAGCGACAACCTGCAGCAGGGAAGAGACTTCTACGGGCATGTCTGAAGCCCCATCAGTGCATAGGAAGCTGGGATTTTATTCAGAGGACTCACATGTCTTCATGGGAAGTGGGTCCATTTCCGAGCATGCTCAATTTAAGGTCATAAACGAAAAAGCAAAGAGTAGACACATTCGGGGGTGGTGTTTAACTCCAAATCTCACAGAGCATAGCAAAGATTAAAGTGATGGAAAGGAATGTCTCTGAGCATGCTCAGTTAACACCAGAAAGTTTTAGCTGAAAAATAAACAATACTTTGAAGGTGTTTTAACAGAGGCGCCTGACTTGCTTAGTCACTAACACAAGGACTGCACGCAAAGCAGACTCCCAGGGATCGGCCCTGGTGGAGGGAGAGGCCCACAGGCAGCACTAGCTTTATTACCAGAGGAGCTGGGTGTTTCTGGGCAGGCCTTGCTCACCGCAGGCCTCTGTGGATAGCTCTAAGACATTTGTTCCCACAAGGTACTGTGTATATAGCCTAATGCCCCGGCTAGGCTTTCTGAAGCCTGTGGTCAGACAGCCATATTTCCTTTATCTTAGGAGGAAAACAGTTCTAAGAGGCCAAGGAACTTCCCCAATGACCTCCGTCAGGACCCCAAAACAACAATCATTGTACGGCACTTCCAGGCTCAATAAAAACACACAAGACTCTTGCAAATTCTGAGTCATTCTGCCTTGACTCATAACAAGAGTATTTTTCTCTTTGTGGCTTTAAGGTTAGCAGGAAATTGCTTGCCCAACCTGCCCAGTCCTTCAGTGAGGCCATTTCTTCTTCTGGCCTCTCCAGATAGTGTGGACGGGAGCCCCATGGGCCTCTGCTCCTGACAGAATAGTCACATAGGGCACGGTAAGGGCTCTCCAGACCTGGCTGCCAGCCCAGGAAACCTGGAGCAAACTGGCCCACACTTCCTCCCTGCTCTGGGAGCTTCCTGCTCCAGGGCCACACCCTCTCATTCAGACCCAGACTGACACGAGTTTTATTGATCAAATTGCACAGATTTACAATGTAACATAAAATAGAATGATAAAAACATTCTTATCTACCCAAAGGCTAAAGGCACTTTCTTTCATAATTATTCAAAATAAATTAAAAATAAGATACTGGATGTTAAAGAGGGCTTTTTTTTTCCTTTTCTTCTCTATGTGTGGATTTTAAGAAGTTAAACTTGTCCCTCCTTTAGGGTTTTGTCACCCCCAGGCTCCACACTTACGCTGGTTCCTTCTCACTCTTTGGTCCAGGCTCTAGGACTAATTTCACGTCTCTTTATAAGTTCTTAGGAAACCCTGGGCTGTGCTGTTGGCACCCACCATCTCTGGGAACCCCGACATCCTTTGTGACAGTTACTCCTTTCTTTCACTCCATCAGGTACTGGGTCCCCAAGCGCTCCCACGATGCACCCCCCAAGACCGTCTCAGCTGGGCTGTGACCAGACCTTAGAAGGCAGGGACCAGACTGATGTCACCTCTCCAGAAAGCCAGCCTATCAGGCCCCAGCAAACCTCTTTTACTGCTACCCCTACTTGGTCTCTCTCCTCTGCTTGCTATCACGACCCTGAGTTTCTGAGGCAGGACTGGGCCCTGAGGCCTTCATGTCCCCAGCATCAGGCTCAAAGTCCAGAGCGAAGCAGTCCCAAGCGGAGATGGCCACCTTGAGCAAGACAGGTCTCCAGGCACGCTAGCTAGACAATGCCGCCTGATACCCTCTGGGCCTGCCACTGTGGCCCAGCTGTGACCTGGCACTTCTTCCAGGAGCCTTGGTCAACTGATGGCACTAGACACTTATTTATTTCATTGTTGCCCACTTTCTGCTCTGCTCCTTCCCAGATCCCTGATATTCTTTAGGGAATGGTTTGGGATTCCGTTTGGCTTTTCATTACCCACCTGCTTCTTCCTTGGCCCCACAACCTTCCCCATCCTAGGTGACCCAAAGCCCTGGCATCAAATTGTGCTATTAAAGATGATGGCATTTAAATAATTCGCTTGGGCAGAGAGGGCATCTAAACAGGCAGGGCTTGAGGGCTATAAACGCTGCAGAGGCAGAATCAAAAGGGAAAGCATAGAAAACCCACCCACGGCAGGAGTTTAGACGGGCTTGTCTAAAATAGATCAGAGCACTCTAGGCCAGTGGTTCTCAACCTTCTTAATGCTGTGGCCCTTTAGTACAGTTCTTCGTGTTGTGGTGACCCCCAACCATAAATTATTTTCATTGTTACTTCATAACTGCAGTTTTGCTATTGTCATGAATCGCAGTATAAATGTCTGTGGTTTTTGATGGTCTTAGACGATCCCTACGTTTCTCCCACGGGTTGAGAACCTGGACTGTAGAGTTTAGAGCCTAAGACCTCAGGATGGAAAGACCTTGAGGCTCCACTCTGGGGGTCTATCTGGTATTTTGTAGGTGTGGCTGTGGCCAGGCAGTGGGAAATAGGACTCCCGATGGAGAAGGCCCAAGGGGATGCAGTTGCAAGGGTGGCTGGCAGGGATGGAGGATAAAAAGGAAGACTAGCAGAGACCAGAGTGTAGCTGGGGGCAAAGGCCAAAGATCTCGGGCTCCTCCTTAATCTAGCCTGTTTCCTCCTTTCACAAATCTGGACAACTCTCTAGAAACTCTCCTGACTCTCCCAGCTCTACCATAACTGGGAAAAAGTCATGTAAGTGAACTGAGTGCCCAGGCTAGCTCTTTTTAGTTTCTTTGTGTAGCTTTGCCTGTCCTGGAACTCACTATGTAGAGCACAGGCTGGCTGCAAACTCTTGGAGATCTGCCTGCCTCTATCTCCTGAGTGCTGGGATTAAAGACGTGCACCACCACTGTCCGGCTAGGGTTGTTCGCAAGTAATATTTTTCAAAGAGGAACTCTAGATTCTCCAGGCCCCAGATTATTTCCTTCAAGCCGGATATTTGCATTAAATAGTTCTAACTTGCTGGCCTTCCAGAACTGTCCACAGCTGTCTGACTTGCCGCTAATTTAGAGAAAGTTGCCAGTGTTTTAGCTGGATTGTGTGACCTAGAAGTTTCCAAAAGGTAGGGAAGGTGGTGGGATGCAAAAATGGAACAGGTTGCTTCCTAGTGTGCCTCTGTTCGGTTCCTGCTCCTTCATCTTCCTTGGAGCACAGACTACATGTGGCATTTTTGCCAAGTTCTGGTAGGGGGGTTGGAGGGAGACTGATGAGTGAGTTCTTTCTGTGGCTTTTCCCAGTCTTTCCCTTTCTTTCCAGCAGCAGCTGACTTCACCCCTAGGATCCGTTGGGCCCCGCCTGGGTGCATACTGTTTCAGGAGAGCCCCTCTGGGCAGCGATGTGTGAGCATCACAAGTCAAAGGCTCCTTTCAGATTTAAAGTACCTACTGCTGTTCCCCTTTTGTTCACCTAATCTAGAGGGGGCAGTGGCTTACTCCTGGATTGCTTTCTTAACCGTGGGGTGCTCTTGGTGAGTGTGTGTGTGTGTGAGGTATGCATGCATGTTTGTATTGTGGTGTGTGTGTGTGTGTGTGTGTGTGTGCACGCGCGCGCGCGCGCACATGCTCTTGTATGTGCCCATTTGGAAGCCAGATGTTTCTCACTGGGACATCTTCCTCAATGGTTTCTTTACTTTTTTCAGATAGTCTCTCCCTGGTCCTCGGGTTATACTAGCTGGCCAGTGAGCCC